TTATTTAAAATCTACAAATTAAAACATTTTTTAAATTAAAAAAAAAACTTTTTTTGTATTTTTTGAAATACCGTAAAATGGAGTAAAGTCGGTGATTTTTTGAAGTTTTTCTTAAAAAACTATGAGAAAAACAAAATATAACTTTAATACTTTTGAAATATAAAGTTTCACTCCTCTTTTTTAATATTATTACATAAAAAAATTTATTTATTTTTCAGAAAAATATTTATACGCCTTTTTATTGTCGACAAATTTTCCCTGAAATGCGGGGTAAAGTCGGCGATCATTTAAAAAATAGTCATTGACAAACCAAGAATGTTACTTTAATTAAGTAAAGTCAATTTTTGGAAGTAGTGGGTGTGAAAAAATCAAAGTGATTTAATAACGATTAAATAAATATTTAATAGCATTTTGTATTATATGAATGTCTAACCTTCAGAAAATTGATGTTAAAATTCATTTTTTAAATTTTTTGGCAAAATTTTACAAATAATACATTTTCCCTGCTCTTTTCGTTCCAATTTGGAAGGAAAATTAATTTGTTTACATTTTGTAGATTAGAAACAAGTAGAAAAGGAAAGTAATGTAATTTTCTTTAGTTCTTTACTGTGGCTTACTCTTCTCTAGAATTCAATAGTATATCCCAAGTGCGAAATGCCAAGACTGCTAATACATCCTAAAATTAGCCCAGTAATGTCAGCCGAAGTACGGCAAACGTTACTGAGGAAATATTGGTGATCAACACGTCCCATTACTGGGCCAATATTGGCACCAATACTTGATAATTCTGGTTTGTCACTATTGGGCCGAACTCTGTCTCATTACTGTGCCAATATTGGCACCACTACTTGATAATTTTGATTTGCCATAATTGGGCTGAACTCTGTCCCAATACTGGGTCATTATTGGCACATTAACGGCTGAAATGTTGAATTTATTTTGATAAGTCATTTTTTCCAAAGTTGGAACAAATCTTGGCTAAGTAATGGCGCAGTTACGGCTGAAGTGTTTTTACAGAAGCAACTTATCAAAACATTTTTGCATTGATATTCCCACGTCCGCGTGGTGTAGTGGTTAGCGTGTTAGGCTTCGAAACGTCAGGTTGCGAGTTCGGTCCCCGCGAGTGTTAGATATTTTCAAATGTTTACAAGATTGCGTTTCTTGTCAGGATAGATGTTATGAATGTATCAAAAATTTCTATTTGTGGCGTCAAAAATAAAAAATGGAAAAAAATGAAATTTTTGAATTTGACAATATTTAGTTCCACCTCCTAATTAAAAATGTAAATTTTTGCCAATGACAATTAAGATTTAAAGTCCTCCTTCCTAAAGATAGACAAATTTCTATTTGTGGTGTTATAAATAAAAAACAGTGAAAAAATTAATTTTTTTAATTGGATAATATTTAGTCCCATCCCCTAATTTTAAAATGGATTTTTTTTGCGAATAAAAATTAAGGTTTAACCTTCTACTATTTACGGAGAAAAAAATTAATTTTTAAAGGAAACTTTCATGAAAAAAATTAATGTTTTATTAAAATTGTTCCTACGCAGCACAATACAGGGTGTTAGGGGCGAGGGTGGACATTTTTATATCACTGTATTCAACGCGAAAAAATAAGAATAAAAGTCCTTTACAGTTTTAAAAAATATCCAATTGTTTACGAGATATTAAATAAACAAATTGGCCTATGAGACGCGGCGTATAGCTGGGAGGCGTGGCCTACCCGGAGTAGGCACACCTTTCCTCACGCTTGGCAAACGGAATAAGAAAAACTAATGGAAAATTTAAAATATCACATAGGTAAAATTCTGTAAATTGACAGAACAAAACTTCACGGCAACTTCACTTCAATAACACTTCTCTTCATTGTCAATGCACTTCATTGACACTTTATCTAACTGACACTTCACTTCACTGGGACTCAATTTAACTGCGACTTCATTAGAATTTAACTTTGCTAACACTTTACTGCATTCGCAAATACCTAGTACTTCACTTCAATTCACTTCACTTTACAGGTCACTTTTCACGTCACTTTTCACGTCACGTCACGTCACTTCACTGAGAGTGAATTACAATTTCAGTACTTTGACGATCGATTTGACTGAAATTTTATAACACTTCACTCTTTTGTCACTTCAACCAATTGGCAATGGCAGTTCAATATCACATCACTGGGAATACACTAGCACTTCACATTAACGATATTTTATGAAAATGATATTTTACGAAGAATTTACTGGCACTCCATTTGACTGAAACTTTACTGGCACTTCACTCTTTTGACACTCCAATTAACTGACATTCCACTGACACCTTACAACATTGACATTACACTATGACACTGCTGACACTTCACTATCGTTCCACTGGCAATACACTAGCACTTAACATTTCTGAAATTTTATTTAAATGACTTTTCACGAAAAATTTTTTGTCACTCTTTTTGACTGGGACTGAAGTGGGACTTCATTTCTTTTACGTTCCATTTGACTGAAACTTTACAGGCACTTCACTCTTTTGCACGGTGTATTTGACACTCCAATTAATTGAAATTCCACTGGCACTTCACAACATTGACATTACAAAATGACACAACTGACACTTCACTATCGTTCCACTGTCAATACACAAAAGCACTTCACATTTCTAAAATTTTATTTAAATTTCTTTTCACAAAAAATTTACTGGCACTCTTTTTTACTGAGACCGAAGTGGCACTTAACTTCTCTTACAGTCCATTTGACTGCCAATTTAATTCCCTAACGGTTCATTTTATTGACAGTTCAATAAATTTTTATTATTAAGGCTTTTATGTAAAATTTAAAACTTCTAAAACTCGGAAAATTCTTAACAAACATTTTAAAGTCTCTTTAGTGGCTGAAATGCTACAATTTGAGCTTTAAAATTTTATTGAACGTTTAAAGATGAGAAAAATCGGAGAATTCTCGCTTCGCACTTCACATTCTGTTCATTCATTAAAATGATGAATTTTAAACTCTGTGATTCATTGTTTTAACAAAATGTGGAATGAAGAAAATTAGGAAAATCCTCGTTTCACATTTTACACATTTTCTACAATAAAAGCCGAGGATTTTAAACTGTGATTTTTTTTTTTTTTTGATATTGTAGACTGGGAAAAATCGAAAAATACTATCTTTTCATTTTAAGAAATTTTATTCGTCGAAATCTATGGATTTTGAATTTCTCGATTTTTTTCCAAAATCAAGACGACGGTAAATTTTGTAAAATTCACGCTTCGCATTTTACACAAGTTTCAGAATTTAATTTTCAGATTTGTGAAAACTGAGGCTTGGGAAGACGCGGAATATTCTTGTCCCTCATTTCACATGTTTTTTTGAATGACTAAAACTGGGTTTTGAAGTTTACGTTTCTTTTAAATTGTGATTACTGAATAGTTGGAAAATTCTTATTTCGCATTTCAGAATCTTTTCGCTGTCAAAATAGCGGATTTTGGAATCTAAAAATGTTTTGGCTAAATTGAGATTGGAAAACTCGGAAAACAAGTGGCTTGTCTTTTCACATTCATTTTTAATGGTGAAAATTATGGATTTTGAACTCTAGAATTTTTTATTAGAAAGTTGAGACTGTTAAAGACGGAAAACTGTCGGTTTTTTTATTTATTTTTTTTTATAAATTTTAACTTGGAACTTCATTTTTGTTAGTAACATTTAATTTCTATTTATCATAATTTGTAATAAAAAAGTTTGCAAAATTTATTGTTAATTTATTTACTTAACTACTTGCATTTTATTTGTTAGTGGAAACTTATTGATTGTGATAGAAAAGAAGACTTTTTTTATTATTTCATTCACTGACGGTTTTTGTATTCATCCCTATTGTTCGAGTTTCTATTCTTGGCTCAATGCACACTGTATTCCTGGAATTCGCCTAAAATGAGTATAATATCATAATATTCATTTTTGGTAAGTGCCATTATTAATTTTTAATCTTTTACCTTTCTCATTTTAGTAATTATCGCATAAAATATTTTGAACAAGTTTTGTAAAATACGTGTGTAAAATGCTAAATAAGCCATTAAATCGAATAAATTTAATGGTTGATTTTTGCCGATGTTATTGTGAATTATTTATTAAGTAATAAATAAATAATTTGTATTAATTTATTTATTAAAAGTTAATGTACAACAACTTCAGCAAAAATCAACCACTAAATTTCAAACCTGGATTAATCGCTGTTTTTAGTAATGTTTTCTGATTTTCTATTTCCATTTCCAAAACAAATGGTCGTTTGTCGAATTCGCGGAACTTTCTCCTCACTCGATCTGCCAGTGATGATGAGCAAAATGTAAACATAAACGTTACGCCGCTTCTCCTGCAGGTAAGTATACATAATACATATCAATATTGCTATTTACATTTTGAAGTTGTTTTCTGCGAATTTTCTGCAATGACCCCCACTATCACACGAAGCTATGGAAAAATAAAAGAAAAGCATTTGGAAACTAGTCTCACTTGAACTTCGATCAGGATTAAGTCCAAAAAAAGTTCTTAGTGCTTACTGTTTAAATGAAAATTTCAAAAGATTAAACGTTAATTATGGCATATGACAGAAATGAGTATTGCGATATGTTACTCATTTTAGGCGAATGCCATGGAAATAGTAGGCAAGCTGAACATCGCTACAGAGAAGTGTATCCCAATCGAAATAACAGATTTCCTTCATTCCACACGTTTGAACGATTATTGCAAAGATTGCGAGAGACAGGTTCCGTTGAACCTCGTCTTCGAGAGGGTGTAGCAAATAATGATAGGAGGGTTTTACGTCGCGAAGAGGAAGTGCTGGATGCAATTTGGCGGGAGCCAAGGATAAGTTCCAGAGAACTGGGAAATCGCATAAATGTCTCACACGTAACAGTAAACAAAATAACCCGAAGAAATGGGTTTCATCCATAACACTTTACAAAAGTTCAAAAATTAGAAGAAAACGACCCTAGACCACGAGTCAGCTTTTCCACGTGGATTCTCCGGAATATGGACGACATACCAAACATTCTCTGGACCGACGAATGCATTTTCACGAGGGAGGGAATCTTCAACACAAAAAATGAGCATCATTACGCAGAAGATAATCCGTTTCTTCATCGCGAAACGCATTTTCAGAGACGCTTCAAACTAAATATTTGGGCAGGAATGATCGACGACGTTATCATCGGGCCTTATTTACTACCCGACCGAATGACAGTAAGTAAAATTTTTAGTACTTTTTTAATTACAAATCATTAATTAATTTATTTTATTTTATTATTTTTTATTTATTATGTTTTTATTATTTTTATAATTTTTATTTTCATTCTATTCATTTTATTTATTTTATTAACTTATTTGTTTTATTTATTTCATTTATTTTAATTGTTATTATCATTTTTTATTTTTTCATTTTATTATTTATTTATTTAATTATTTTTCTTTGTGTATTAATTTTTAATTTAATTTTAATTTTTTAAACATTTTTAATAGTAATAATATTCATTAATTATTATAATTATGAAAAGGGTGCCCGTTATTTAACATTTCTGCAAGAAGAATTGCCTCATTTGTTGGAGGACTTACCGCTGGAAAGAAGAAGGAGATTAATTTTCATGCACGATGGATGTCCGATACACCGAACTGGAGATGTCGTTCGTCATCTAAATCAAACATATCGCAAAAATTGGATCGGATATAAACTGCGAGAGGGCAATCACAGGAGATGGCCTCCAAGGTATTATAAATTTTTAAAATTATTTTCAGTTATAAATAAGGTTTTTTTAAAAAGCAACAGTGATTTTTTAAAATTAAATTTTCAGATCACCTGACATGACTCCCCTTGATTTTTTTCTTTGGGGCCATCTGAAAACGTTAGTTTACAAGGATCCATTGCCAGACAATGAACAGGAAGCCGAATTAGAATTGATTGCGAGAATACATGCAGCAATCGCAACAATAACGCCAGAGATGGTACGCAACGCAACTGGCAACGTCGTAACACGAGCTAGGAAATGCTTGCAAGCACGTGGAGGACACTTCCAAGCAAGAATGAAAGTTCAGGATTTAATTTAAACAAAAATCACAAAAAATTATTTTTTATTATGCTATTAAATAGTATTTCTTTTTTTTTTTAATTTTGATAATTTTATTATTTTTGTTCTTTATTGCGGCTTTTTTATAATATAGGGATAATTTTTAAAGTCATTCAGTCTAAATTACAAAAAATAATTGTAAATATCAAAATTCAAGGATTTAATTGTGTAACGTGTGTAAAATGCGAAGTGTGATTTTTTTACAGATGTAGATTGTCTTAATTTTTAAAAAAATTCTCAGAATTCAAAATGCATGACTTTGACCATTAAAATTACTCTTAAATGAATAGAGAAAATTTCCCGATTTTTCCACAGACTGCATTTTCAAAATTTCAAAATTACTTGAAGGAAAAGCGAAAAATTTCGGTTTTCTTCCATTCTTAATTTTGCAAAAAAAATCCCATCACTCAAAGACCAACATTTCAACCGTCAAAAATACTTGGAAATGAGAGTCGAAAATTTTCAGAATTTTCCTCAGTCTCAATATTTAAAAAAAAGTCGCAGAATTCATGATCCGCAACTGTACTTGCAAAAAATGTGTAAAATGCAAAATAAGAATTTTCCAAATGTTTGCGTAGTCTCAAATCTAGAAAAAATCACAAAACTCAAAACCGATGGTTGTGATAATTAAAAGAACTGTGAAATGAGAAGGAATAATATTTTGATTTTTCCAGTCTCCATTTTGCAAGAACAGAAATCCGCATCGTTAAAATCTACGGTTTTGATCATTAAAAATAATATGACATACAAAGAAGGAATTTTCTGAGTTTTCCGAATTTGAATTTTTCAAAAAAATTTTTTTTCTCTGTTTAAATTGTCAAAAAATTGCAGCGTTCAAATTGCTTCATTTTGGCCTCTAAAAAGACTGAAATATGAGTCAATTTTTCGAGCATTAGAAGTTACATAAATGTCTCAATCACAAAAACTTCTCAGAATTATAAATTATCTGTTTGTTAGCTTCGTGTGTATTGAAAGTGAAAGTGAAGTGTAAGTGAGATGTTACTAAAATAAAGTCAAGAGCTACTGATGTTTCAGAACAGTCAAAGCCAATTTATTGAAATACTAGTAAAATAAAATGACTGTCAAATGGAGTACTAGAAAATCAAAGTGCCAATGAAAGGAAATACCAGTCCAATCGAATGTCAGAAAAGTGAATTCCTCTTGACTTGATGGTAAAGTGTCAGGTAAGTGGAGTACTAGTGCAGTGCTAAGTCATTCAAATAAAATGACAATAATTTAAAACTGAAGTGTCAGGAAAATAATAGTGAAATGTCAATGTCATGTAGTTTCATTGAAGTGTTAGTTAAATGGAGTGTCAGAAGAGTGAAGTGCCAATAAATTGTCAGTTGAATGGAGCATCACAAAAGCGCAGTGAGAGATAAGTAAAGGGCCACTTTAGTCTTACTCAAATGGAGTGACAGTGAAGTGATAGTGACATCTCATTCAAATGAATCCAAATCCAGTTTTGGTCATTCAAAAAAAATGTGAAGTAGGGGTAAAGAATCTTCCGCGTATTCCCCAGACTCAATTTTCATAAAAACAATCTATGTATACATAAAATCTGAAAATTAAATTCTGAAACTTGTGTAAAATGCGAAGCGTGAATTTTACAAAATTTACCGTCGTCTTGATTTTGGAAAAAAATCGAGAAATTCAAAATCCATAGATTTCGACGAATAAAATTTCTTAAAATGAAAAGATAGTATTTTTCGATTTTTCCCAGTCTACAATATCAAAAAAAAAAAAAAAATCACAGTTTAAAATCCTCGGCTTTTATTGTAGAAAATGTGTAAAATGTGAAACGAGGATTTTCCTAATTTTCTTCATTCCACATTTTGTTAAAACAATGAATCACAGAGTTTAAAATTCATCATTTTAATGAATGAACAGAATGTGAAGTGCGAAGCGAGAATTCTCCGATTTTTCTCATCTTTAAACGTTCAATAAAATTTTAAAGCTCAAATTGTAGCATTTCAGCCACTAAAGAGACTTTAAAATGTTTGTTAAGAATTTTCCGAGTTTTAGAAGTTTTAAATTTTACATAAAAGCCTTAATAATAAAAAGAACGGTGCTGAAAAATGACCAAAATTTGCCCATGCGGGAATTATGAAAAACGAGTAGTTTCCCATAGTTTAAACCCTGCTGAATCCGAAAATGATAATTAGAATCTTGCAAACCTGAGGGAAAGGGATGAAAAACTACCCCTAAATAAGCAATTCCAATAATTCACGACAATTAAAATGCAGTCAAGTAACATCTAAAAAATAAACCAAAATCGCTTAAAACTTGTTACTCGGGGGTTTTCTGGGTCGCTGATTACGAATATGATGTTAGTTTTTGAAAATTCAAAATGGCGGATCCAGTATGGCGGACGACTTTTTTAAAAAATCTTGAGAATCGCCTGAAACTTGTTACTCGGGGGTTTTCGAGATCGCTGATTACGAAAATGATGTTAGTTTTTGAAAATTCAAAATGGCGGATCCAATATGGCGGATAAAAATTTTAAAAATCCACACAATTTGCTTAAAACTTGTTACTCGGGGGTTTTCGGGGTCGCTGATTACGAATATGATGTTAGTTTTTGAAAATTCAAAATGGCGGATACAATATGGCGGACGAAAATTTTAAAAATCCATAAAATTTGCTTAATACTTGTTACTCGGGGGTTTTCGGGGTCGCTGATTACGAATATGATGTTAGTTTTTGAAAATTCAAATTGGCGGATCCAGTATGGCAGACGACTTTTTTAAAAAATCATGAGAATCGCCTGAAACTTGTTACTCGGGGGTTTTCGGGGTCGATGATTACGAATATGATGTTACTTTTTCAAAAATTGGAAATGGCGGTTCCGATACGGTTGGACAGTTTTCTATGAACCGTCGTATTCGCTTGAAACCACTAATATTTACTATTTGAATTGTTCTAGACATCACTTACTGTTTATTTATACGTATACCCAAGAATCACGTAATATAACCTCAATATCAAGGTAATATTACACGTGAGATTCGTAATATAACGCTGTAATATTACAGTGATCTTAAAATGTCCGCCTCAAGGTAATATTACCGGTAATGTTACTGTAATATTACGCGCTAATATTAAGGTAATATTACAGTAATATTATGGGAATATTTCTTTACGAAAAAAATCTACCCATCCAGGGAATCGAACCCCGAACTCAAAGCACACGAGTCCAGAGTTTTACCAACAAGCCAAATTGACTTATAATATATTTACGTTTTTTATGCTTTATGAATAACTCAAATTAGTCTCACAGGTGTCTGGAAAGTAAAAAAGTTTGCCTACGATGCCAAGAAAAATCATTGTTACCTGGTGGTTCCTTAGCACCCCCTGAAACGAGAAAACTTAACCCAAAAATCATAGCTGTTCATTTAGAGAAGTTTCACCTCTTTCAAGGGGTGATTTTAAAATATTTCCAAAAAAATTGTTTTTTAAGGGTCAGAAATAAGTTTTAAATTATGTTAATGATTTTTATTTATGTCAATGTGTTTGTAGGACCTCATTTTCTAGATACAAGCCATTAATATTTTTTTTATTAAAAAACCTAGAATTCGTAACTTTTATTTTATATAGGTGACGATTTTTAATAATTTAATTAACAGTGAATTTTAATTTTTTGGAAAGTTAAAAATGTGTATTTTCAATACAAAAAATATTGAAATGTCCTTTTTTGTTATTTTCGAGATATTAATTAATGAATTATTTAATGTTAATAAAAAATGCAATATTTTATAAACAAATAATGTTATCGTAATTTAGCGTTACCAATTGAAAGATAACGTAATTCCGCATCCAACGAGACTAATATGAACTATTTTGAATTAGAGGGATTTTTATCAACAATTGCAATGTTGTTATGCGATTATTTATTAACAATCCACTAACCCAAAATTCTTCATATAGGGCTCGTTGGATGCGGAATTACGGTAGCTTTCAATTGGTAACGTCAGAATTACGATGACTTTATTTGTATATAAAATATTTTATCTTTTGTTAACGTTAAATAATTAAATAATTAATATCTCGAAAATAACAAACAAGGATATCTCAATATTTTTTGTAGTAAAAATACACATTTTTAACTTCTCAAAAAAATCAAAATTCACTGATTAAATTTTTCAAAAAATCCAACTCCTTCCGTCTCCTACAGGCAGTTTTTGAGAAAACCTAACAACACTTCGTGGTGTAATTTCGCCCTATAGATATAAATTCATTAACACGATTTATTTATTTACTAATTAAATCATCCAAAATCGTCACCTACATAAAAGAAAAGTTACGAATTCGAGTTCTATTCTATTAAAAAATTTTTTAATCACTTGTACCTAGAAAATGAGATCCTTCAAACACACCCACATAAATAAAAATCATTAACATAATTTAAAACTTATCTCTGACCCTTAGAAAACAAATTTTTTGAAAAAATTTCGAAACTTCTCTAAATAAACAGCTACGATTTTCGGGTTAAGTTTTCTCGTTTCAGGAGGGGCTAAGGAACCACTAGGTAACAATGATTTTTCTTGGCATCGTAGGCAAACTTTTTTTTCTTCCCAAACACCTGTGGTCTGTAATATTATTGTAATATTACCGTTAATATTACTGTAATATTACCGTTAATATTACAGTAATATTCCCGGTAATATTACCTTGAGGCGGACATTTTAAGATCACTGTAAGATTACTGTAATATTACAGCGTTATATTACGAATCTTACGTGTAATATTACCTTGATATTGAGGTTATATTACGTGCTTCTTGGGTATACGTATAAATAAACAGTAAGTGATGTCTAGAACAATTCAAATAGTAAATATTAGTGGTTTCAAGCGAATACGACGGTTCATAGAAAACTGTCCAACCGTATCGGAACCGCCATTTCCAATTTTTGAAAAAGTAACATCATATTCGTAATCAGCGACCCCGAAAACCCTCGAGTAACAAGTTTCAGGCAATTCTCATGATTTTTTAAAAAAGTCGTCTGCCATACTGGATCCGCCAATTTGAATTTTCAAAAACTAACATCATATTCGTAA